GATGTGACACTTGGCCTGGCAGAAACAGAACCATAGGCTGTGTCTGGTGCAGCGCACATTGATGGAGACTTCTACCTGTCACCTTCCCTCCCGTCCTGAAGCCAATGGGTACCTTTGTGGGCTCCATGTTCCCACTGTCAGAAGGCTTGGTGGGAGGGACAGGCCTATCCTCCCATCCCAATGTCACCAGAAGCAGGCATGTGGTCTAAACACAGCCACTGAGATTTCAGACCCCCGGCGAGTGACGCCAGGACTGAAGAGTCAGGGGGGATTCAACTTGCCAGCACAGAGCACCCACCGGCTCTCTTGCTCTCTGTTTCTGGCTGGCTCCAGGCCCCCTGAGCAGCCCTGCGCCTACCCCTTCCTGCCCCTTCCACATGCAGCTCTCCAGCTCCCTGATGATTGATGATTCTGTGCCCATAGCCTCTGGCCAATTCCCCCTTGCCTGAGTTAACCAGAGCTGGCTTCTGTTACATGCAGTTGGGACTCTTGAAAGACATGCTGAGCAATGGGGGAGACACGACAGTCCAGCAGTTACTTGCCAGAAAGACTTGGGACTCCATCTGAATCCCTGTAGTGAACCGACCTCCTCCCTTTGGTAGCATTATACTGACACCAGAAGAGAGACGTTAGCAACCTGTTCCTCTGCTTTACTGATAACCTAATTCTTCCCACCAAACACAAGCACCTAATGGGTTTACAACTCTTTTTGTCCAGAGTGCCAGAACAGGCCTCTTTATCCCCTGCCCCATCCCTGTGGCTTTAGAGGGAGGCCTAAGCTTGGCTTGGGGCCAGATGCCTGAATTGCCAAGAGATGAGAGTCTGGGAGGCCAACACGATCAAGTCTGCAAGGAAAAGACAGCTTTGAAAGGGCTGGGAGTGGGCGGTGTTTGTCAGGTAAAATTCTGGTCACCAATTACAATGTGTGTGGGAATTTCCCCTACACTACTAATCAACTTTCAGACACCCGTGGATTTTCCTACAGCTAACCTTAATTCTGACATTATCTACCTGGAGAAAGCATCAGATTCCTCAGGTTAAGGGTTCAGTCCCCCTTCCCCCAATCACAAGTTCAGGTTGTCATCTGTGCTTCTGACCAACCAGGTATTACTGGAACATTTAACGACCCCCTCCTTAGGTTCAATTAACTTCCTAGAGCGGCTCACAGAACTCAAGGAAACATTTTGTTTTCTAGATTACCAGTTTGCTATACAAGGATATAACTCAGGAGCAGCCAGATGGAAGGTAATGGACAAGGTAGATGGGAAGGTTTGCAGAACTCCATGCCCTCAGAGTGTGCCACTCTCCCCACATCTGCATGAGTTCACCAACCTGAAAGCTCTCCAAATCCTGTCCTTTGGGCTTTTTTGGAGGTTTCATTACATAGGCATGGTTGACCGAATCATTAGCCATTGGCAACTGACATAACCTCCAGTCCCTCTCTTCTCAGAGGTCAGGCTGGGGACTGCAAGTTCCAACCCTCTAATCAAAGGGTTGGTTCTTCTGACAACCAGCCCTCATTGTTAGGTGCATTGCAAAAGTCACCTCATTAGCACAAAAAAAGCACATCTTTACTGCTCTTCTCAGGTAGGAAATTCCGAGGGTTTTAGGAGCTCTGTGCCAGAAACCAGGACAAAGACCAAATATATATTTCTTATTATAAATTACAATATCACAGCAGCCAACTAACTGCCCCCGCTGGAGAAGAGGCCCAGGAATAAAGTTGACTCAGGGCCCTTGAATCCCAGAGGCTTCCTGGGGCCTGGTTCCTTCAGGCCTGACCTGGAGCCAGCCTCAGAGTGTTAGTGGAGTGGGGCTCTCTGGCTAGAGCTGGCCAAGCTGAAACCCCCAACCCCACACACACTTAGTGATTGTGGGGCACAGCAAGAATCAGAGGTGTGGCTGAAATGATTGGGGGTGGGCAGGAGGCATACACCGCCTGTCCTGAAATTGTCAGGTTTCTCCAACAGATGGCACTCACAGTATAACGTTTCCTCATATTTGTAATTCTGTCTTGAAAAACTGTGATTTTTAAAAATATTGCTGGGGTCGGCCAAGTGGAGTGTTGGTTAAGAGCTGGCTTGGGATGCCAGCTCTGAGCAGCAGGGCCCCAGTTCGAATCCCACATGAGGGCCAGTGATGCTGCGCCTTCTACAGCTAAGATGGTGAACAACAGCTCAACCTGGAGCTGGGCTGCCGTGAGTCGCCAGCAATGGTGTAGGCTGCAGTGGGGCAGCAGTGGGCTGCCGTAAGCTACTGTGAGTAGCTGGCAGCCAGTGTGAGTAGCCGGCAGCCGATGTGAGCTGCCATGAGCTGCTGTCCAATGGCTGGTGAGTGACTGCCTCACCTGGGAAGAGCGCAATGATAATACCAACATGGGCCAGTGAAGCGACATCTTCCACAACTAGGCTGAAGAACAAAAGGACAGCAACTTGTCTGTTCCCCTTCCCCAATTCCCCAATGCTGTTCCCCTCCCCCCAATTCCCCAATAAAGTCAATATGTATATATTTGAAAAGCACAAATAGAACTATGACTTAAAAGTCATATAGTTGATTGTATGCATTATCATACTTGGTTTTCTATCATATTTCCTAGAGTTGTCAAGTTTTCCCCCTCTGGGGTGTTGGGTGTGGCAGACATGCGCCCTCACCTGACCTTCCCCAGCCAGAATAAGGAGTCCAGGGGAGGCTATTGAGTCTTTCCTCCTCAGTGCTCCCCAAAGTCTGACTGAACCCGTCACTGCCCACACCTGGCCTGCTTCTCCTGAGCAGTCTTCCAGCTGTCTGCGCACTCCACACCCCGCAAGGCCTTGAGGCATATGCTGAGGCAAGAGAGCAGAGATGGCAGCACTTAGGACCTGCAGGAATCTGGTGTTCAGACCACTGCTGTGCTTGAGAGCTTGACGGGGTGCAGGGAGCTTTCTTTCCAATAACTGCATCCCTAGATCTCACAGGCCCAGGTGGGAAAGACACTAGGACCTGTGCCTGGTGCCTGTATTGGAGGGCAGCTTAAATGTATGTCTTTGGAGTCACACTGCCTGGATACAAGCCCTTAGCCTACTACTATCTGGATTTCTGACCTTGGGCAAGGCTCCTATCCTTTCTAACCTCCAATGCCCTTTTTAATAAAATAGCCATAAAAGTACCCCTGCCTTAGATGGAGGTTTTGAGTACTGTGGTAGGCAAAATAAAACCCCCACAGAGATGTCCCCGTCCTACTCAGTGTCTTAATCCCAGAACCTGTGAATGTTACCTTATATGGCAAATGGGTTTTCATCCTCTCAGAATCAAGAAATCCTTGTAAATAGTTCTGACCCAAATAAAGAGCATGGACACTGGTGATTTACCCCGTCTGGTCCTTGGGGCACAAGCCTTCCTGAATGTATGGTGGGGATGGGGGGTGGGGTGTGTGTTGACCTTCTCCTTTCCATTCTCCAGGCCTAGGCCCCTCCCCTGGCCTTTCCTTCCCCGTGACCAGCTCCCCCACCCCAGGTGGCAGGGTGCTGTCTACCTCCCTGCCCTCCGTCATTTCCTCTCTGTCTTCTCTGCAGAGGCCTGTACTCCTGTTCCATAGACAACCAAGCCTTGGTCTTCCATCCCTATCCGGTATCGCTGTGTTGCCACCTTCTAATGTACAGTTTAGTACCTGCAGCAGATGAAATGCCCAAGTCAGGAGTGCCCACATGAAACCATGGTGCTGGAAGTTTGCATGCTGTCTGTACTTCAGCTGCAACCCGTGCCTCCTGGAATTCCCAGGATGGACAGAGCAAGGGTGAACATGCCTGCCACAGGCTTACATTTGGTCACTCTGGCTCCCAGTAGGCCACTCGTTGCTGGCTGGCCTGAGCTTGGGCTGATTCATGTCTCGGTCACCTCATCTGAGTGGTTGGGTGGCAATGCTGCTCTGAAACTATAAACTTCCTGGCTCAGAATCCAGTGAGGCCCTGGCTCAGTCAGTTCACAACCACCAATTCCCTGAAGAAAGTCTAAAACCAGCTGCACACTGATAGGACCCCATGCCTAACTGCCCTGCCCAGAGCCCTGGGCACATCGTTCCCACCCACATGGGTGGCCTCTACCTCAAGCACCTGTAACTCTCCCTGGAGACCTCTGTCTATAGGGAACTTGGTCTGTGCCTGGGCAGACCAGAAATGCCAGCATCAGCTCCCTAGGAAGCAGTTCTCACTTAATGGCTGATGGGAGTTGGCAGGTATACCTCCGGCTTCCTCACTCCTTGGGCGAGACACCTGAGGCCTGTCCCCCACAGCCTCCACAAATCCCCACTGGAACGGAGTACTGGGTGCCACTGCAGCAGCCACCACAGCAGCATTCCCTGACTGGCTCTCCTCTCTTCCTGCTCCCTTCCCCATGGTTTTTGGTCATCACCTCCAAATAAACTGCTCTCAGACTCTGCTTCTGTGGAAGGTCAAGCTAAATACAACATGCCTGACTGCAGAACCCAACCCTTCTGTGAACAGACTGGCTCATTGCAAGACATATTTACTTAGCTTATAACAATCACATTTTAAAACCAGGGACTTTAAGAAATTGTTTTGTGACTGCTAACATGACAGCAGTTCTTTGGGTTAAATTATTTCCTTTCCTCCCACCACAGCAATTCTGTTTTGGGATTCATGAGAAAGCTTTTTTTAATGCTCTGAATCGGTGCTCGCGACTTATTGCATCTGACCCAGATTTGTTGTGCTTGGACCTTCACCCTAAGGTGTCCACATTGATTGGTTTCTTCCTCTGTGTTTACTCTGAATTTAAAAATCTACATTTTCCTCTTATCCAAAAGCTAATTACCCAGGTAATTGATTAGATTTTCTAATTTCCCCCCAAATTTGCAATATCCTCTAGATTTGGCCCAAATTTCCAAGTTGTGCTCGGAAACAGTGCTAAAGCATCATGAAAGCGCTCTGCTCTTCCCAAGCTAGAGGTGCAGTGCTCGGGGCCACCAGGGCCAGCGCAGCACAGAGCGGCAAGGCGCTCAGGCCTACCTGAGCTGATCTCAAAGAGGTGTTTCCCCACATCCTCAGGGCCAGGAAGAAGCTCGGTCACTTGCGTCCCTTGTAGAGAAATGAATCCCTAAAGTGGAAAGACAAACACAAATATGGGGGCATGAGATGGCTGGCAAAGGACGTCTGTGATCAGGGTCCCTGGAGGGGGACGGCTGAGCCCGGGTCAGGGGCCCAGCCCTCCAGGCCCTGGCTGGGTAGGTTGGGTGCCAGAAGGAGCACAGGCGTCATCTTCGAGGCAGGTGTGAGGTGCAGCTGAGGCCCTGCGTGGGTCCCCAGTGGAGCGGGGACGTACCGTCTACACATACTGTTGGAGCAGCTCTACCCACAGGCATGGCACACTGCCCAGAGTTGTTGCTCCCTTGGTTAAGGCATGGAAATCCAAGCCTGGAGCAGGAGGAAGGCTCCCATCAACTGGAGGGGTCCCCTTTCCAATGTGCCCATCTGCAGCCTTTCTGGGGCAGGAGTTTTAGGCTGTAAGGTCAGGGAGAGAAAGTCTGGCACACTGGAATTGGCTTCTCCTATGTAATTGTCCCTGAGGTGACATGGGGGAAAGGATCAGCAGACCTGTGTGGGTCCAGTTCTGCCCCCTCCTGGCCAGGTGAGATATCATTTCTCTTAACAGTTTAATGGGAGTCAGCTGTCACACAGGAGGTACCTAAGCACACACACATTGTGCCAGGTGCCTGGTCTACCTGTATGTGTGAGTTACAGGGGGTGGATCCCACCCTGCTCTCCAATGCTAAAATCTGACAGCAAGACTGAAAGATGCAAGGAAAGAGCATGGGGTGGAGGGATAGGTAGGCTGGGTTTGAGTTCCAACGGTGTGCTTCCTGGCTGTGTGACCTCAGGAAGATGGCTTAGCTTCTCTGAACCTCAGTTTCCACATCTCTACAATGGAACAGTAACTCCTACTTCTCAGGGATATTGAGACTGCAGTTTCCTGTTCAGGAAGTCCTTCTCTAGATGAGGTACTGTCATGACCATCCTGACTTACCCTTTCCCCACCCACCAGGCTAGGCCTCCTTTGTCTCCCTTCTCTGTTAGTAACTGATCTCTGTTTGGGGCCTTTCTTTATTTCGCTCATGCTCAGAACTGCATGTGGCTCTGACTACTCATTTTAGGTTCTCTGCATGGGAAACCCATTTTAAACTCCATCTCTACAGCCTAACCACCTGGGTTTGAATCCTGCCTCAGCTACTTACCAGGTGTGTGAC